CAGTGTTGAAGGAACTGAGAGGCAGACACCCAGATAGAACAGCAAAGTGGGTCTGTCTGGGGGACCAGCAGCCTTCTGAGCTGAAAGCCTTAGGAGCTGACAGCATTCCAGCCTGAAGGCCTCAAGCAGACTCTGACCCACATTTATTCTCTCTGAACAGGTGATCATTATTAACAAACAGATGTTTGGTATTTTCTTTTAACATAAAATATGCCAAGTAGGCAGCTGGTGCCTGCTTACAGGCAAAAATTTAATATTCTCCATGAGGGAGCCAGGGGGGCAGGGTCAGATATCTTAAAGAATTGTTTTAACTGGTTTATGATATTTATACATTGTCCTGCCACTTTGAATGCCCCAAGTAGTTTTCTACTTGGGAGGGGCGGCTAGGTTTTCCTTGACATCGTTCTTCCTGGCAAACAATATATTTTTACCATGCGCTCAGCATTCATCAGTATTCATAAACTTAACATTTCTCGACACTTGATCTTTGGTTCTATACCCCAAACTGAAACCTTGACCTTGGTGAGCTGGGCTGGACCACATGGACCTGCTTAAGGATTTACTTGTTCCTTTGCCCTATGCAGATACCTCTTAAGATTGTTTACTGGAATCTTGCTGTTCTTAAGCAAGAAAATTCCAAGAAATCTAAACTCTAGCAGAGACTTGAGATGGAAGAGAGTGGTTTTTCTTCATAAGCCCAGGGCTAAGCTCTTTTCAAGACCAGCATTCTTTAGTTTTTCTAAGACCTAGGACTTGAGGTATGGGAGAGAGAAGAACCTCTTCCAAGCTCTGCCTTACCTACTAGCTGCCTGGGAACATTATGGGTGGAAAAGCAATAAAAAGAGTAAACAAAACTCTTAGCTGCTAAACTAATGAGAGCAGGAACCAAAGAGAATATACCTTGAGCTGCTACTCATCGCCTGGACATCTTCTACCCTGAGTACAGAAGGCACTGATACCCTTCCTCTTGAGCCCTGGGGATAGGAGGCTTGAACTCCTATAGCAGGCAAAGTGTTAATTTATGCCAGAAACAAAATAATAAAGGTAGTAGATTATGAACAAAAACAGCTCTTCATAGATCATCTGAGTGATCTTTGTGAATGACTAGGGTTTCCTGGGTAGTATACTTTGCAAAAGAAAGTGTAATTAATTTATAACCTCTTTTAATTTCCTATGAAAGTTAATGTGTATCAACAAATAATTCCTTATCTTCTTAGTGTAGCAGCAAATATAGGTAAGTAATATATAAATATAAAGCAAATATAAATATAGATATAATCTAGTATATGAACAATGCTTTTGGAAAGCTAGGCTTGTACATTTCTCAGGAAATAAAAAATGAGTCCTAATAGTAAGAACCAGGAGTAATTATTTTTAACACATGACTCTTTAATAATGTCTTAAGCTTTTTTACATAATAAAATAATGGAATTTAACATTAGAAGAAAGCCAAATCATTATTTTAAAAGTGGTTATCTCTTATGAGTTTGGCTTTTTATATAATCTACTTGACATATTAGAGAAAGATAAGCCATTATGTGTTTATTTTAAAATACTACCTATGTTTCTGGTATTCGTTTTAGATCTATATTGATGCCAATGTGAACTCTAGGCCGGGCCATGTACATTGATTTATTCTTACTACAAAATCATACATTAATAGTAAAACTCTTTTTTTTGTTTTGTTTTGCTTTTTTTGGGGGGGGGGGAGGGGACGGAGTCTCACTCTGTCGCCCAGGCTGGAGTGCAGTGGTACAATCAGCTCACTGTAGCCTCTACCTCCTGGCTCAAGCGGTTCTCCTGCCTCAGCCTCCCAAGTAGCTGGTACTACAGGCATGCACCACCATGCCTGGCTAATTTTTGTATTTTTTTTTTTTTTTTTTGAGACGGAGTTTCGCTCTTGTTACCCAGGCTGGAGTGCAATGGCGCGATCTCGGCTCACCGCAACCTCCGCCTCCTGGGTTCAGGCAATTCTCCTGCCTCAGCCTCCTGAGTAGCTGGGATTACAGGCACGCACCACCGTGCCCAGCTAATTTTTTGTAATTTTAGTAGAGACGGGGTTTCACCATGTTGACCAAGATGGTCTCGATCTGTTGACCTCGTGATCCACCCGCCTCGGCCTCCCAAAGTGCTGGGATTACAGGCTTGAGCCCCGCGCCCGGCCCTTTTTTTTTTTTTTTTTTTTTTTTTTTAGTAGAAATGGTTTCACCATATTGGACAGGCTGGTCTTGAACTTCTGACCTTGTTTGTGATCTGCCGGTCTCAGCCTCCAGCCTCCCAAAGTGCTGTGATTACAAGCATGAGCCACCACGCCCATCTGTAAAACTCTTAAAAACAGAAAATAGAATGGTGGTTCTCAGGGCTGAGAGAAGAACCTGAGTGATCTTTGTAAAAGAAAAAGGGAGTAGTTGTTCATTGGATACAGTTTATTTTGCAGGATGAAAAGGTTCTAAAGATCTGTTGCATAACAATGTCTATATGGTTAACGATACCATATGCTTAAAAATGGTTAAGATGGTAAATTTTATGTATTTTTGACCACAAGTTTAAAAAATTTTTAATTATGAGTTTAAACTTTGGAAAGACACTGAAATTATTTATACCCGAAAACTTTTAATTCTAGATATTTATAGTTTTATTTTTTTCAAATTGGAGTCCCAAAGCATTAATTTATTTACAAACACTTATAATACTGCTTATTGGCACACAGCAAGCTCTGTATAAATTTAACTCATTTAATCCTCATTAAATTCTATGTGGTAGGTATTATTTTGTTTTCTGTCATTTTATAATGGCCATTTTCTAATATACAGAGAATTTGAAAGAATTGTATGTTGAATACCCTTATACTTACTACCTAGATTCCACAATTAATGTTTTGTTGTATTTGCTTTTGACATATCTGTTTATAGCTATATTTATTTATAAATGTATCTTATTTTTAAAAATGCATTTCAGAGCAAATTGCAGATATCAGTATGCTTTGAGGATCCATTTTACATTATTGGGATCTGAGACGCAGACAAGTAATTTGTTCAATGTCACCCTTTTTTTTTTTTTTTTAACTTTTATTGGTGACATTGAAGAAAAGGGCTGGGGAGCGGGTGGCTGGAGCCCCGGGGCTACATGGGAGGCCCCCTCTGGTCTTCCCACTGCATACCTGCAGCTTGGCTACCTGGTGCATGCGCATCACGACAAGGCTCTTGAGGCTCTCGAGGCTCTCGTAGTCCCTCTGTGACAGCACTGAGCCCTTTGACGGTGCTGGGTGGCCCACGGTGCTCTGGGGCTGTCCCTCCAACCAGGAAATCTTCAGAGGGTTATCCACCAGGCCAACTTCATTCTGGACAGCCAGCTCCGCAGCCTTGACGGTCGCGAACTCTACCACAGCAGTGCCTGCCTTCTTACTAAAAAGCATCAGGTTGAGAACCGCACCATACTTTTGCAAAAGTCGTAGAAGGATGTCTTTGGAGCCACCTTTTAACTCATTCTCCTTCCTGCACTTCCATTTTAGTTTTAGTTTGAGGGTTCCTCGGCCTTCAGTATTTTCTGTCTTTCCTCTCAATCTCTGGTCATGCTCCTGTATCTGCTCCCGGATCAGCCTCTGCTGTTCCTCCAGCTGCCAGGAACCCTCTTTTCTCAGGGGTTCGTTCTCTTGCTCTAGTGTCCTGGTGCCCCGACTTTCCTCCTCCTCTCTTTCCTGGGCCTGGGCCTGCCGTTCCTGGGCCTCCAGATCAAGCTTCACCTTACTTCTTTCCTCATCAGGTTTCTGGGTCGTCTCTGCTGCCTGCTTCTTGGCTTTCCTGATCTTGTCATACACAGCTCTGGCTGCAGCATCAGTCAGTGCCTCCAAGGCCTGAGAAAGCAGGTGGAGGAGTTCAGCTGCTCTGGGATTATCTGGATTTTTGTCTGTGTGGCAGGGGAGGGCCTACTGTCTATATGCCTTCTTCACCTCTTTGTCCGCCACCTTCTCCTCAATTCCTAGCAGCCCTTACAGGTCCATCTGTAAGAGCTTCTTGGTCACTGCCATGGTTCCAGCCTGACAGAGTCATACGACCTGTCAAGGGCTTTTAAGTGGCATAACTAGGATTTGGATCAAGCCTTTCTTAACCACTTCTACAGAGTACTAGTTCACATAATTTTGTGGTTAAATACATCAACAAATGTAGTATCTTAGTCTTCTTATCTATGCACGTATTTCATAATACAGGATCTGTAACGTCCAGCAGTAAAGAAATCATTTACCTTTAAGCCAGGCATTTCCACATTTGTTCCACCAAAGCACTCTGCTCCCCACGTCTCCCCCAAACATAACACCTATTAACACTTCATAGGATAGGGCTAGAATTCAGTGGATTATGTTATGGAAAATGGTTATTTATAAGATATCCTAATTTTATTTATTCAAGACAGAATACATTTTTGAAGAGTTTATATTTTTAAACATAGTCCTAGAATTTTAGAGCTGATGGGGATCCTAGAGTTCATTGAGACCAACACTTTCATTTCAGAGATGTAGTAATGGAGACATAGAGTATTCAAGTGACGAATGCATACTAAATTGTGTCCGAGTATTTAGTGGCAGAAGTGGAACTACCGCCCAGTCTAGAACCTGGGGATGGCATTAATAGATACTCAGTAAATGTTTGTTGAATAAATTAATATATCTTCTCAATCCATCCAGTTTTTTTCCCGCTATGTATCTATCTATATGTTAGAATTTTTATTTATTTTTGGAGTATATTGGTCAGTAGAGAATAATCTGTGGTACAAATGATATATATAGTTCCTAAATTCCAAAAAAAAGTTTTATTGTAATGTATAACATACAGAAATTTATGCAAAATATGCTGTACCGTTTAACAAATAATTATGAAGCAAACCCTGGTTCATGATTCAAGTCAGGAAATGGAGCATCGAAGGTACCTGAGAAGCCCCCAGGAACCTTCTTCTCTTGCTGACCCTAATTGTTTCTTTTTTCTCTCTCTCTCTTTTTCTTTTAGCTAATTTGACAGGACATGCAGAGAAGGTGGGGATAGAAAATTTTGAACTTCTGAAGGTCCTTGGAACTGGAGGTAAGTCTTAAGTTAATTGTTTACAAGGAAAAGAAAAAGTACTTGTTATTCCTGTGATGAAGGATTGATATCCCTAGTACGGAAATTAAAATTTAAAAAGCATGAGGAATCCATTAGGAGAACTGTCAAAGAACATGAACAGACCATTCATAGAAGAAGCACAAAAGGCAAAAATTTAAAAAATTGGCAATGATTTAGGGAAACCAGTCCCTTTTACCCTGCTGTTGGGAATGTAAATTCAACCTTTACACAGGACACTATATTTTATTTTATTATTTATTTATTTTTATTTTATTTTATATTTTATGAGATGGAGTCTAGCTCTGTTGCCCAGGCTGGAATGTGGTGCCATGATCTGGGCTCACTGCAACCTCCGCTTTCTAAGTTCAAGTGATTCTCCTGCCTCAGCCTCCTGAGTAGCTGGGATTTAAGGCACCTGCCACCATGTCCCGCTAATTTTGTATTTTTAGTAGAGATGGGGTTTCACCATGTAGGCCAGGCTGGTCTCCAACTCCTGACCTCAAGTAATCCATCCTCCTTGACCTCCCAAAGTGCTGGGATTACAGGTGTGGGCCACTGTGCTCAGCCAGGACAAAATATTTTTTAAAAATCACTACTAACATTAAAAGAGTGCTTGTTACATGCCAAGTACTCTGTGGAGGACTTTATATTGATTGTCTTATTCAATTTTCATTCAACTCTATTGATATTCAATGCACATAATTTGTAATAATGAAAAACCTAAGACTGTTTAGAAACCCAACAGTAGGGCTTTGGTTAAATGGAACATGGATCTATATGTTGTATAATATAGAAAATGGATTTAAATGATCTACTTTTATTAATATTTTGGAAAGCTCTCCAAAATAAGTTTTAGAAAAGCTGCAGAAGAGAATGTACAATATACAAAACATATGAATAAATATAAATATCTACATGTATATAAGGATGTGGAAAATATCTACATGTATAAATATATGCAGAGAAATCTCTAGCTGTGTGGGTGTGGTAGCTTATGCCTGTAATCCCAGCACTTTGGGAGGCCAAGAGGACCCTTTGAGGCCAGGAGTTCAAGACCAGCCTGGGAAACATACTGAGATCTCATCTCTACAAAAAATAAAGAAAAGAAAAATCTCTGGGATGTACATGTTTGTATACACTAAAATTTTAGTAGTAGTGGGATTTTACATGATCTTGGTTTTCTGCTTTGTACTTTCCTTTGCCTTCTGAATTTTTGCTACCACCGCTCTTGCTGCTCAAGAATCAGGGCTGACTTAAGGGGGATATGATCTGTGTAGTTGTAGAGATCCCCACATTTAGAAAAGCCCCATGTTTGGTGTAATGCTCTGCTGTCACTGTTCTGAAATTATGAGTCATTCATGAACAAGGCACCTGCATTTCCATTTTGTGCTAGGCCTTGCCAGTTACGCAGCTTCTTATCATGTGTATGTTTCCTATTCAACTTTCCCTCTGGAGTATGTTGTTCTGCAGCCACCGCTGCTGTGAGAACTCGCTTCTGTCATTTTTCTTCCATCAGGAGAAGGTGCAAAGGAGGCCTTTAAGTCTTTTTTGTTTCCATTCTCAACAGGCCTAGAACCTCTTTTGCTGGAAGACCAGGGAGAGCCTCAGAGGACAGACCATTTTTCTTTTCTACTACAGTTTAGCTTCTCACTGTCAGGGACCTCAGAGTTCTAGCCCCTGACTGGATGGATTACACCTGTCCATATAAGAGTGTCTGCCCATCCCTTCCAAAATGCCAAACATTATAACAAGAGAAAAAGCCTTTCTTTTGGGTTTCTGTAATCAATACCAGTCACTTCTCTAGCCTCATGCCTATGTTTAAGTTCACTTATGTAAGCTATTTTAGGTCATTTAGTAATGAGCCTTTATGCCTACTGCTCTGCCATTACAAGTTCTTTATAACCTCCCTGAGTAGTTTAGCATGCCATATAGCCCAATCTTTACAGTTACCAGTGAATAAGCCCAATGAATAGTTTATTCCCATCAACTAAGCATTTTATTGTCGGAAATTCAGTATAATTGTCAACCTGGAGATTTTTTAAACATCTAAGCTCTACCTCACCCTATTCCTAGGAAATCATGCTTTCGAAATATCAAAATAATATCCTCTATTCCTACCTTTGTTTCCGGTTTCAAAGGCAATGTCTACTCAAAGGAGAAAGAGAGTCACTGTTCTGTGGTGACTCAGTTCCCTTAAAAATAGTGTTTGTATATCTGGTCAAAGTTCTTAAGGTTGATATATATTATAAATTTTCTTTATAATATCTGTTTTATCTGCATGTTTTTATCTGTGTGTGGCTTTTATTTTATTTTTTTTGGTAACAGCTTTATTTTATTTTATTTTAGTAACAGTTTTATTGAGCTATAACTCATGTTCCATATTGTTCCACTACTTAATGTGTGCAATTCAGGGTTTCAGTATATTCACAAGTTGTGCAGCTATCATCACAGTCAGTTTTATAACATGTTCTTACCTCAGAAGGAAATCCTGACCCCTTTAGCTATTAATGCCCAAACAAGCTCACCATCTTCCCCAGTCCTAAACAACCACTAACTGACTTTTTGTATCTATATATTTGCCTCTTGTGGGCATTTCATATAAAGGGAAACACAAATATGTAGTACTTGGTGACCAGCTTCTTTCACTTAGCATAACGTTTTCTAGATTCATTCATGTTGTAGCACACATCAGAACTTCATACTTTTTGTGACTTATGATTTCATTGTACAGGTATATACCACATTTTGTTTCTCTATTCATCAGGAGATGGACATTTGGGTTGTTTCCTTCTTTTGGCTGTTATAAATATAATACTGCTTTGGAGAATAGCCTGGCAAAATAGTGAGATTTTCATCTCAACGAAAATTGGCTGGGCATGGTAGTATGTGCCTGTAATCCCAGACACTTGGAAGGCTGAGGTGGGAAGATTGCTTGAGCAGGAGTTTGAGGCTGCAGTGAGCCATGATTGTGTCACTGTAATCCAGCCTAGGCAACAGAGCAAGACCCTCTCTCTAAAATATAAACAAATACATAAAAATAATGCTGTTATGAACATTCATGTACAAGTTTTTATATGAACGTATGTTTTTCTTTTTCATTTTTAAGTGTTTTATAAAAAGTCATGCATACTTTTAAATATTTTGAATAGAGGCTCTGTAAATTCTCTCAAGTTCAGTTTACAGTAATCCTTAATGTGAAAATAGTCTTATTCCTGTTTCACTACAGGTTAGGTTAAACAATTTTAAAACAGGAAGAAATCTGTGAATGGTCTTTTTCCCTTTTTACTACAGGTTAGGTTTTCTGTCATAGGAAGAAGTCTGTGACAGAAAAATATTATATGCTTAAACTTGTATCATAATCTATATTGCCTGAAGAGTTCATAGTATTGTGGCATATTTTCTGCCATCTGCCATGTAGATGGCAGAATTCCATCTAAGTTAATTATAATTCTGTAATATAAAATTGCCAGGAAAATAGCATTTGGGTAAACAGAAATTTTCTTAGTGGGTGACTTATGCATAGCAGTTTCTCAAATGTTTTTGAACAAATGGTTGAGTATACTTATTCCATATAATAAGGGATTTCTATAAAGATCCTTGAAAATTTGAAAACAAATTGCTATTTTTATTTGCAATGTTTACATGACTTTCCACGTTTTAGAGATTAGAACTTATGTTCTTTTTCATATTAAAGTTTTAGAAATGTTGGTTTCTGGTTTTTATCGAAAGCAAAACTTAGTAAAAATATTAGTATAATTGATCAAATGAAACTACTGTTTAATACTTTTAATTAACCCAGTTATTTATTTTATTTTAAAAATAGATTTGTAGCAGTTTTTAAAGAAAATATTATCTTAGACTGGAGATCATGTTTTATTCCAGATATGGTTACAGGTAAACAGCTTTAATCTGCCATAACAGATAACTTCTCTATAGCAAAATAGACATAGCATTTATAGAACCTTCTCAAGGACACTATTAAAATGTAATATTATCAGTTTTCATCATTAAATTTTGTAGTATGTAACAAGAGCCCTGAGACTAATCCTGTTCCTTGAGCTGTTAATTTAATATATGGCAGTATACTCCAAATACAGAAGCAGAAAGAAAAAGGCAGTTTTAGGTGCAATGGCTTATTCCTGTAATCTCAGCACTTTGAGAGGTTGAGGTGGGAGGATCATTTGAGCCCAGGAGTTCAAGACCAGTCTAAGCAACATAGTGAGACTTCATCTCTACTGAAAAATTAAAAAAAAAAAAAAAATTAGCCTGGGGTGTTGTAACACTTATAGTCCCAGCTACTAGGGATGCTGAGGTAGGAGGATCTCTTGAGTCTGAAAGGTTGAGGCTACAGCAAGCCATGATTGTGCCATTGCTCTGCAGCCTGGATGATAATGCAAGACCCTGTCTCACTGTAGCCTTGAACTCCTGGGCTGAAGCAATCCTTTCACCTAAGCCTCCTGAGTAGCTGGGACTGCAAGCATGTGCCACCATACCTGGCTGGCTGTTTTGCTTGCTTATTTGTTTATTTAGTAGAGACAGGGTCTTGTTATGTTGCCCATGCTGGCTTCAAACTCCTGGGCCCAAGTAATCCTCCTGACTTGGCTTCCCAAAGTACTGGGAATACAGGGAAGAGCCACTGCATGTGGCCACAGTCATTATTAAACCCCTAAGTGCTAGATAAAGAATTTTCCTTACTCTTGCCAGGTAATCTTATAGATTGATAGAGACTATTCAACTGCATAGATTACCTGGCAAGAGTAAGGAAAATTCTTAAGTTTGAAAAAAATTAAATGGGAGTAGGAATTTAGAGAAATAAACAAGCTGCCTGAGGGCAGAAGTTACACTGGAGAAATCTACCAGTGAATTGTGAGCTAGTTCTCTGGGTTTGCCATTTTCATACTTCATATAGAAGAGTGCCTCTAAGGCACTCAAGAGGTAGCAAAGGCTACTGCTCAGTAAAAGATTAAATGGGGGAGAGA